GCCCATGCATACCTGGTATCTTCCCTATCTTTGCGTGACCAGGAAACCTCCCCCCACGCCCAGTTTTAGACTCCCCCCCGCGCCCAGCCAGGCCCACCCCACCCTGAAGGCCGCCTGAGGCCACCGCACCTTGGTTCCCTTCCCAAAGGGCAGCCGATCGTGATGATAAGCAGCCGTGGGTGCGCACGTGCCCGGGGGATGTTTTCCCCCCGTTCCTGGGAAGCCTGGAAAAACGGCTGAGACAGGCCTGATCGGAATAATCACCGGTTATTCATTAAAGTGACCTGGCAGCTGAGAAATCACAACGTTGGCAAGGTTTTGGCTCAGAGGAGGAAACAACGAGCCCCCCCCCCAAGCACATTTGGAAGGATTTGCAAGGTTAAAAAGGTTAAAACCGCGTGACCTTTGGGCGGAAGCTCGGGTGGCTTGCTCCCTGGCACCAATCCTTTCCGGGGTGGACCCTGTTCGGTGCAGAATCCGATTCCTAACACGGTGACTGGAGTGTGCCATGGAAAGGCAGTGCTCTTGAGCATGCACCGAGTTCAGCAGAAGGAAAAAACGTCCACGTCCGACCTCCACTTAGGGAGCACCATCCGGAGGGGCGGGATTAGAAATTCCATTCGCCCTAACCCCAACGCTCAATCATGGGGGGGGGGGACAGCGATGTCCCCTGAAGAAATCTGGGAGTGTTTAGAAACAAAGATCGTACTGGTCATACTGGTCCCATTTTACAGATGGGGAAAACCGAGGCCAGATTAGGTCACACAGAAATCCATGTTCCGGATCGTGACCATGGAGGCTCGTATGAATTCAGGAATGACGGACTCAGAGGTGGCCATACTGGGATGCTCCCAGCCATACTGGTTCCCTTGGAAGCACCGGTCGGGGAGGGCAGAAGGCTGGTGTGGCAGCGCCGCCTCCTGGAAAACTGACGCCTGAGCCAGGGATTTTCACACCCAAGCAGCCTTTTTTTTTTCTTGGCAAGGCAATGCAGTGGGAGTGTCTGTCACGTGTATTCCAGAAGTGGCACAGTGTCCCTGCTCGGCAGCGGGCCATCGGATCACCCACAGTGGCAACGAGGGTTAATCCAGGTCTGGATTTATTCGGGCATCGGGATCCCAAATACATGGAGGGCATGGGTTCCCAGGGAAGCGGCATGTGGGACGCCTCCCACTTCTGCTGAGCTTGGTTTCTGTGAGGCGCGCCTTTGCTACACACACACGTGTGTGTGGGCCCGATCCAGAAAGGTACGGGCTCCTCCCTCCGCTCCTTCACCCATCATGTTGGCTTGTCAGCTTCTAACATTAAAAAAAATCCCACAAAACACTCTGCACATGACTAGAGTTTGCAAGCCCGTGTCAACCACCTTTCGCACTAACTTCCCCGCACTCAAAGGATCGCTCGTGGCCCCTAAAACACCGAGCTTGGGCAGAGGCATCTGGTCCTGGAGCAAAGGGGAAAAAAAGATTTATTTCTCTTTCCCCCTCTTTGCAAGGAGTGGTGCATCCAAGCATGCAGAGTGCTTCCCCCCCCCCGTCCTCCAAGTGCAACGAACCCCCCCTTCTTCCAAAAGGGTCGTAATGCCCCAGACCTCGGCCCACCTCCCTCTGGTCAAGGGAACCCAGCCATGGCCAGCTTGATGAGAGCAGGATGCCTCTGGGCATGCACAAACAGCCTTCCCCATTGGGGGACTCTCTCCCGCCTCAGCTGCCTACAATCCCCGCGGGGGTCACGGGAACGCTCATCTCTGGGCTGGCTCGCTTTCTGCTGGGGCCGGCGGCCAAGAGGACGAGCCCCTGGCCCTCGGCCCAGGGCAGCCCGTCCAGGCCAAGTATGCGCGGGCAGGCCGGGCCTGGGGTGGCCGCATTCCTGCAGGGGCATGCATGGAGGCAAAACCACGGGCGGGAGGCTCTGAGGGCTCCACCCTGCGTGCGGGTTTTCCCCGCCCTTCGGCTCCCTCCCCGGGATGGGCCTGCTTCCCCAGGAAAGGGGAGCCCTCGCTCAGACCAGGCCTTATATGGCGAAAGGACTAGGCCGTGGGGCCAGAGAAGGGACGCCCTCCCCCTGGCAAAGGGAGAAGGCCGGCCGGCATTCCACGCTTCCTACCTCATCGCTCCGGAAAATTAAAAAAAAAACAACCCTCTTCCATCAGCTGGGGAAGGAACAGGGAAAAAACACAAAACTCAAAAGCCACCAAACCGGGGAAAGAGGGTGACGCACACCAGATCGGGCGTAGCTTGCTTTAGACAGGGGCTTGGTGGGTTTGTTATTCCGGCCCTCCCTGGCCTGGAGGGGTCTTCCCACGATTCAGAAGATCTGGGTTCTAATCTCTCCCCTGAGCCCCGAATCTCCCTGGGTGGCCTTGCTCGGCCTCCCTTTCCCCCCACCTGGCCGGGTGGCTGTGAGAAGGCGGCGTGATGCAGCACCCTGACATGGGGGGCCACTTCCTATTTAAATCGGCACTTATTATTTTGTAAAGCATCATGAGGACTACAACCATGTTGCATCTTTTGGGGGGAAAGGCTATAATAGCTCATCCTCCAAGGGGCTGCTTTCAAGTGACAAAAGGATTGGCTTTCAGAGGGGATGAGGGGACCCCCCCACCTTCTCCGGAGGGTGCCTGCGCCCATGGGTGCAAGCGCAGAGCCAAAACAAAGCATTCTTTCCCCCCAGGCGCGTGCAAACAGTAAAAGGCACGTGCGAGAAATATACGAAGGAAGTTCGGCCGGGGGGGGGAGAAGAGAGAGAAGCAGGCGTGGAAAAGTTGCCAACGGAAGCACGAAATCAAAAGACGGTCTGTCACGGCTTATTCCTGAGATATTTTAATTAGCAGCAGCTTCAACGTCTCCCCCCTCCCCTCTTTTTTCTTCCCTTGCACGCTGGAACATCTGACCTTTCGGGGAGAAGAGGAAAAGACAGCCTCGGAGGGAAGAGGAAGCTAAAAGGCAGGGCTTTTAATAGCCACAGAGAGGCTTTTAATAAAATTAAAAGCAAGGAAGGGAAGTATATGTGTGTGCGTTTTAAACACCGAGTCTATTTTTTAAATCTCTCCACCGCAGAAAGAGAGACAGACAGAGGAAAAGGAGGACAAGAGCAAAGCGCCACGTTCGCATTCTCGGGTGGCAGGGTCCAAAAATAACCCCGCGCGCAAGTGGGTTCCTGCCGACACTACCCACTTCAGCTGCTGGCGTCATGGCACCGCTGGGGGAAATGCTTTGGAACCGGGGAGGGTGCAAAGAAGAAAAATTGGGGAAGGGGGAAGGAAAGGAACTGGGGTTTCGAGGGGGAATTCAGCTCCGAACTGATTTCTGCAGCTCGATGGGAATCGCTTGGTTTTGGCCTCGGCTCACCCATCTTCGGCTGCGCCAGCCCGGCCTGGCAGCTGGGCAGCGGCAATTAATTTTATGTTCGACGAAGGAGCAAGAGGGTTGTTGGAAGCGAGGAAAGGAGCACAGAGGCCTTGGGAAGGATCTTACGAGGAATCAACTCATCCACCAATTTCTCTCCCCCCCGCCACAACACTCAATCAGGCAAATGAATTTGCTAATTTGGAGCAAGTCAGACGCAGCATGTCCTCCGCAGGCAGCCTTGAGCTGGCGGGGTGCAAAACCCCACATCTGACACCCAGTGTCTCTGAAGAAGACCATCGGTGGTTGGAGATGAGCTCGGCACAACGGGGTCTGACACGGGTAGCTTCCTATTTAAATTGCCATTTATTATTTTTTTAAGAGTCATGAGGACTACGATCTTGTTGTGTCGTTTGGGGGAAAGGTGATAGCTCATCCCCCAAAGAGGCTGCTGTATTAAGTCCCTCATACATATCTAGAGGTGGGAATGTTCTTTTTCCGCCCAAAAGGTTGAGAAATTGTGGTCAAGCTAAAGCGATGACAGGTGGGAGGCAACTTTCTCTGCCCTTTGGAAGAGGCCAATCTCTCGGGCCTCTCTGAAGGCTACAAAGGTCAGTATTGAAGGGCAAGCCTTGTACAAAGGCTTTGACACATGTCCAAACAAGAGCCGGCTTGTTGGAAGCCAAGGAATTCCTTTTAAGAAATTTCTTAAAAGTTTTCAGTCCGTCTGGCTTCCTAGATTCAGCCCACTTAAGACCTGTGTTTGATACATATTGCACCGGTTTGGCCTATTTTTGCAAACCGTTTCTAATTTTCAACGGCTCCAACCCTTGCTATCGCATTGACGTCAATTTCGTCTGGCGCCCTTGGTCACACTATGTTTTCTTGCATCCGCCTAGAGTGACCGCCCATCGGATGGGCGGCATAAATGTGGAATAAATAAATCAAACAAACAGGGCGTTCATGTGCAGAGTAGGGTTCTGTGCATGCATGTTGGGACGATTTGCAGCTCTGGCCAGCACCGCGGCTGAGGGTGAATCCTAGAACGGTAAGGACTGAAGGGACCCTGAAGGCCATCTATACCAACCCCCTTGAAGCAGGAAATCAAAAGCCAGGGCATTCGCGAGGTGGGCCTCTACTTAAAAACCCTCCAATCAATTCCCAACTTCCGAGATTGTCCCTTGTACGACTCAACTTCAGGGGTTCAGGTTTAACCTGAATGATTTTTCCTCTAACCTTGAATCCACTCAAGGATATCTTAAGGATATATTTCCACCCGCTGGTTCTACTCTGCTGTCCCAGGCAACGAAGAACATAGGGTTTAGGTCTCTGGCTGCGAAGCCAGAGGTTGGGAATTTGAATCCCCCGCTGGGCCTCATCAAGAGGGGCCAGACTGGATGAGCCACAGGGTCCCTTCCAGCTCTGCTGATTAGATCACTTTTCCTGTGGGACCTCCGTCTGATCCCTCGCCTTGACCCCATGGTGTGTGCACAAGGAACTCTGAACACCAGCTGCTACCGTGTTCAGACATAAGGGTTTCATTTTCTGAATGTGAAGCCTGTCTGCTGTGTTTTACCCACACCTTAAGCGGACGAGAAGAATCCAGCTGAAGCACAAGACCATGAGAACCTGCTCAGGGAACAGAAGAAACCGTTTTGCCTATAATTCCTCTTTTTAATAGGTAATGGCGGCGTGGGCTTGCCTACACCAACTGTACAGACCAAGGAAGCAGGAGGAGGAAAAATCCACAGCAGGGGCTGCTCTTTCCTCGTAGCCTGGGATGCGGTTTCCTGTAACACCAAAAGAGAAGACAAGGATGAGAGGCTAACCAGGAGGGGGAGATGAACAGCTTTGCTAGGGCTGGCTGTGCCCTTGAAGAAATTCCATGAGATGATCTGTCCGACAGCGTCACCTAGCGGCCAGAACTTATTCCCAAGCAGCCTGGAAATGCACGCCTGCCTCACGGGGCACATTCTCTGGTTGATCTTATCCAGAAGCCCAAGGCCCAGGGAAGAGACCAGCAAATAGTTATGTTGGGGGGCCCTTTGAAGAGACACAGACAGAAGCTTCATAAGAGCCCTTACAAGCCTGCAACTTTTTCCACAGTGAATCGCACCCTAGACAACTCAGGGGTTCAGATTGTGGAGCCTGAGGTTGGGCGTTCAAATTCCCCCACTGGGCCTCCTTGACAAAAACGTGGCGATAGCGGTGGTGGGACGGTCGTTTAGCGCAGTGGTTCTTAACCTTTGTTACTCGGATGTTTTTGAACTGCAACTCCCAGAAACCCCAGCCAGCACAGTTGGTGGTGAAGGCTTCTGGGAGTTGCAGTCCAAAACTCCTGAGTAACCCAAGGTTAAGAACCAGTGGTTTAGCGAACGGAGGGAGCGGGGAATGGATTAGCCGTCAACATAAAAATGCTGAGATGATGTCCCTGTTAACATAAGATGTTTTGTGGCCAGAGAGACGGAGCAGAAATGTGTTTTAGGGTTAACAAAGAGGGACTCACTGTTTTCACTCTAAAGCTTTCACAATGGCTTCGTTGGCTTCCACACAGATCTGGGCTTCTGCCTTTGCTGCTTCATCGGCGGCTGAAGCCACGGCCGACTGGGCTTTTTCCAGGTTGGCTTTGGCTGTCTGCGAACAGCAAAAAAAGCTTCGATGTCAATGGAAGCGTCAATTTCCCTTTGATCGCTCGCACTCACGAGCCATCACAAGGGAAACGAAATGCAAAAACCCAATACTTTATAATACAAAGTAAACAATATTAGGAACGGTCAATTAAAAAAATGATACAGACAGCAAAACTGGCCACCTGGTCCTTAACAAGACATCTCACAATCCTGGTTTTCATCTCTGTTGGAAATGAGAAGCAGCATGCAAAACAATGCTATTCTTACATCCCGCACTGGGCTACTCTTGAGGAAGGATGGGACAGAAATTCAATAAATAGAATGGTTAAGGGTGTTAACAAACAAGCAGCTTTCTTTCATGTGGACTTCATAAGAACCAGCAATAACCAAGGGTTTCAATTTTCTTTATGACCAAAAATGTAATTTTCCAATGGATTAGCTAATTACACTCTCTTTATAACAGTTGGGTAAGTAACTTGATTGTCTAGGAGAGGTTTTAAAATGGCTTGCATTCTGTTCCTCCTAAATTTATTTTTATTTATTTGAAATAGTTTTACCACGCCTTTCTGCTTAAGGACTTCCAGGTGGCGTACAAATAGTTTAAATAGAAGCGGAAAGATGTTGGCATACATTCCTCTCTTTGAGCTGATCCGCGTTTACTGTGTTTGTTACGCCGCTTATGTCCGCAAGCCCATCCTGGGGTTTAAGGCAAAAAGCCCTGGGGGTGGGGGGGAAGCTGTTTCAGAGAAGGAAGAACCGTAGAAGTTGGAAGGGGGTCTCGAAGACCATCCAGTCCAGTCCCTTTGCTCGAATCCAAGAATTCAAAAATGGAAAGATGAAAGCTATTCTTAATTTTTTCCCCCTTGGGGTTTTTTGCAACCTGGTATTCTTGGATATTGAATCAGGGGGTGGGTGAGCATCCGCGAGCACTAACCGCGAGATCCAGCTGATCTAAGTGCGCCACTTCCTCAGCCAAGAGCTGGACCGATGAGTCTGCGTTCACTGTGATGGAACCGCTGCTCACTGCAAATGGGAAAGAAACCGTCAGCCGAGGAGAACTCCACGTGCCTTCTGCATCCCAACCCAAATCTCTCGGCCCTCAGTGTTTATTCAGTTAAATCACTGTGATTCAAGCGTAGCTCTGTAGATATTTTTAAGGGCAGGCACCGGCATAGCTGATGAAGAGGGAGGTGGGGGTGGCTAAATTCCAGCAACACGGGGGCAGCCGTGCATCGGTCTGCCCTTGATTTAAACATTTAGCACAACGGCTCTGCTCAGTAACTGAACTTCCAGGACTGACGGGCTGTACAAGGTTGAAATAATGCACCAGATTACAACATAAAAACCCCCTGCAAAAAACAAGCGGTGCTAAGATCTCGCGGGCTGGGTGGATTGCTCAGGGAGTTCGATCTCTGGCTGCAGAGCCAGAGGTTGGGAGTTCTAGGTCACCCTAATGCAGATCCTAGAACAGGTGGCCTGGGTGGCTTTTGGGGAAGAAAGACTGAGAAAAGTTGACTATGTCAGAAATGATCTGAGGGCACGCAAATGTTAGGATGATGCCATGCATGCCACTTTTGAATTCGCTGGAGAAAAGGCAGAATGCAGGCGTCCCAAGGCTAATAAATCAGTCCCTTGAGATTAGAGTTTGCAGCTTTATGGACACCCACAACCGAGGGTCCACTGGCAAGCAAACGTTTGCTCTGGGCTAGTAACAAGGATTTGTGTTGCCTAGTAGACAATTTGCTTCCAAGCCTAGAAATGCCGTTGTTATGTGCAGCCCTCCACCTTTCCCAACATTATGGTCTTTTTTTTTCCAGCCAATCCTGCCTTCTCACAAGGAGCCCAAAGTAGGAGAGCCTCGTTTTCAACTTTTGCCTCCAGAGAGAGTTCAGGCTGAATTGGCTTCGGGACACATACATACTAATGCTACAGAATGGGTGCCGGGTGAATTTCCAAAGCACTCCCAACGCCAACCTTACCAAAATATTTGGAGGATGAGCCGTCCTCGGCAAAAACGGTCACAACTCCGGGTTTCAGGACCTGCAGAGTAGGGACGTGAGCCGCCAAGATGCCGAAGGACCCGCTCAGGGTCGGGACGTCTACCTGCTTCACGGTGGCTGCGTTGTAGAAAACCTGTCAAAGAGAATTAGAAAGCCAGATGATGATGATGATGATGATTCACAATCCACTGAATGTGGGCTGGACCAGGGACACTATTATATTGTTATTATATGAAAATTTATATACTCTCCCCACACCCCATGCATTCGCTTAAAACATTTATAGGCCACCTCATTGGGAGGAGGGAAGGGGGAGTCTGTGGAACCTCCGGAGATAGGAAAAAAGGTTATATCACAGGATCTCAGGCAGGGTGACAGAGCCACCTAAAACTATGCAAAACCCACATTTCCCCAAGATAGATCAGAATGTTCCCACTTCTTGGGGTGTGGGTGGGATTTAAACCCAGCTCCGTTCTTTATTATGCTTCCCCTTGCCCCAAAGCCACAAGGGATTCCCTTTTCTCCCCTTTCATTTCTCTAGAGTTTCCAGAGACGCGCCCCCAAAAGCTAATGTATTTCCCTTGAGCCACGTCCACCCTTTATAATGGCTAGGTACATATAATATCTGCAAATTCACTTATCCGCAGCCTGAAAATATTAACAATATTGAAAAAAACTCCAAAATATCTATTTCTAACAACGACGTTACCAGAAGTGGCCAATTAAAGGACACCAGACACCATATTGCGGATCGCATTGGCTAGTAGAACAGCGTTCGCTACAACACGCGGTTTCCACTATCCGCGGGGTTTTTGGAACCGATTCCCGCCCCCCCCCCGCCCTCCAGGGAAGTTACTTTCCCCCGCTCCCGGTTCTGCGGTTGCTATGGCAATACCTCGGAGGGCGAAGCGAAGGTGAAGGACATCTGGGCTGGTCCGGACGAAGCAGCCGCGGGAGCCGCCTCCGCATAATGCCGGGCCGGGCCTCGGGTGGCCCGGGCGAAGGAGCGGGCGAGGAAGCGGCTGGCGGGCAGCATGGCGGAAGCCCAAGGACGGAGGAAAGGGGAAGAAAAGCCCCGGAAAAGGCCCGGACTACGACTCCCAGCAAGCCCCGCGAAGGGGGTGGAAAGTAGCCGCCGCGGGGCATGACGGGAACGGAGAGGAGGCGGAGCAAGGACGCCCTTCCTTCCAAGCGCTCGCGCGAAAGCACCGCGCGAGGGGGAGAGAAGTGGAGACCAATTACGGGCCGCCAGGCATCTCGCGTCACGACGCCGGACTACATTTCCCGATAGGCCTCGGAGGAGGAGAAGACGCCACTCCTAGGCCGCCATATTTCCCTCCCCCCCATGATGCCCTGCACGAGCCAGCCACTTTCTATGTAGGCTGAGATGCACGCTCGCGCGAAAGCACCGCGCGAGGGGGAGAGAAGTGGAGACCAATTACGGGCCGCCAGGCATCTCGCGTCACGACGCCGGACTACATTTCCCGATAGGCCTCGGAGGAGGAGAAGACGCCACTCCTAGGCCGCCATATTTCCCTCCCCCCCATGATGCCCTGCACGAGCCAGCCACTTTCTATGTAGGCTGAGATGCACGTAAACGATTTGTTTAATTCTTTATCATTAACATGGCTATAATTGCAGCTGTGATGCATTTATGTTTAATAAACGTACTTATTCATTTATTTATCATTATTATTTATTTTATTTATATCCCGCCTATCTAGTCAATTAAGACCACTCTAGGCGGCTTACAACAAAATATAACAATATAATTAAAAACAATTTTATATAAGGGGAAAAACTTTGGACATATAAATGGATATAAATGGAAATTATATTATCGACCCATCACTGGAACGATATAAGCTTGTAGTTAATTTTCATTCATTCATTCGTTTGTTTTCCATTTATATATTGCACCCACGTATATTTAAAAAGCATACAGTACAGTACTCTTAATAGTCTCTGGGTTTATCATCATTGCCTCCTTCGACAGGCCTCGTGGGCAGGGTTTCTGGCAGGCGAAGCCCAAGAGAAGAAAAATAAAATGTTAGCTTTAATCATGCCTTTTAATTGATGTGAGCTGCCTTTTTATAATCCCTGTGCTTAATTTTAAATATTGCCTCTTACTTGATGTAAACCATGGTGTACTCATTGGTTCCAACCGTTAAATATTGCGTTGTGGATTTTTCGGGCTCTTTGGCCGTGTTCTGAATATTGCCTTTAAATGCTGTAAGCCGCCTTGGGTTCTTTTCAAAGAGAAAGACAGGGTAAATTTTAAAAAATAAATAAATAAAATAAATCTGTCAAGCGAAGGATGGAGACGTTTAAGGGACAGCAGGAAAACAAACAAAAATGAGGGAGGGGTCTTCAATTCCTCCACGGAGGTAACGCTCTGGGCTTCGCCACCTCTATGGTTTTACTTCCCCAGCGCCTCCGCTTTCCATGACCGCTCAAGCCGCCGTTCCTCTGTGGCTGGGTTGAGCCGGAAGTCGGTCCATCGCTGCACCGGTCCTCCGCTCCCGGACTTCCGGTGAGGCCCAGTTTTTTTTTTTTTTACCTCAGAGAGCCGGTTTCGAAAAGCCCGAATGGCGGCTTGGCTTCTTCTCTCCACGCTGGCCTTCTTGGCCTTGCTTGGAGCCGCGTCGGCGACGGCGAATGAGACCACGGCGGCGCCTCCGCCGGACCCGGGGGTCCCCAAAAGCCCCGGGGGTCCCGCCGCGCCTCAGCCCACCGGGGTGGCTCCGACGACGGCCTCCGAGGCTTCCCCTCCTGGGCTCTCCGGGCTGGGGCTGCCGGCCCTCCACCGGGCCCTCTACGTCGTGCTCGGCATCGGAGGCCTCGGCCTCCTCTACTACCTCGGGGGCCGGGCCTTTCGGTGAGGAGGGGGGGTGGGGAAGCGGTGGCCACGGCGTTACCTTCTCGCAAGGAGGAGTAATTCGTTATTGTGAGGCGATAAGGGAGAGGGAGTGGAAAGAGGTTAGAGGCCTCCGGAGGTTACTTCTTTGAAAATAAAAGTAATTCGATACTATGAAATGATTAGGGAGGGGGTGGGGGAAAGATTGAACAGGGCCTCAGGAAGTTACTGTCTTGAAAAAAAAAGTAATTAATTACTATTAGGTAATTAGAAGAGTGGAATGATGAAGCAGAGCCAGAGAATTTACTTTCTTGAAAAGTAACTCAGTGCTATCAGGTACCTAGTGAGTTAAGAGAAGATTAAACAGAGCTTGGGAGTTAGTTACTGTACCTTGTTCAAATCAAAAGTAATTAGTAATTAGTGAGAGGGGAAGGAGGAAGATGTAACGGCTCAGGACGTTACTTTCTTGAAGAGGAAAATAATTACTAATAGGTAAATTAGGAAGCAAGGAGTTATGGGTTATTTAGGGGTATTAGTTACTAATTAAAAATTTTGCTCCTTCTGTGGTGCAGTTTCCAAGATCTGGGATAGACCTGCTTTTTGAGCTGCTTCATCATAACAAGCTGTATTTTTTTTTAAAAAAAGAAAATATTAATTAAGGAAACTATGATTAATAAGCTGTGAATTTCCAAGTAGTTAGGTGTATGTTAATTACTCCCCTGTGCTTGCTATTAATTATCTGTGGCTCACAGGAAAGATCTCCTGAGTGTTAAAGCCTAATATGAATTTTCCTTCCAAAAAATCTATGTCTGGTTTCTTCAGGAGCTTCATTTTAAAACAGCTTTGAAAACTCTCTTTTGCCCCTGACTTTTTAATTGAGAAAAATAGTGTAATAGTTGCTGCTGATAAAGATTTGAGATTTTATTTTATTTTAACTGCTTAAGCAAAACCAACAAAGAAGTTTTTCTTGTATGAGTTTTCATGGAGATCAGCTGATGTTTTCAGGTGTTAACATTTGGGTTTGTTGGAGTGGGAAGTGTGTTATTAAAAATAACCTAAGTTTGAAGAACAGTAGATGTTTTAACCATTTTTGTTTAGTCCGAATGATAAAGATTGACATTAAATGTTAAGGAAATAAATTTATTGACAAACTCATGCAAAATGGTACTCCTTCTACTACAATATAAATATGATGGAAATATATTTCTTAACATTTAATTGCAGTTTTTATAGCATTGGGTGTTTCTGTAGTGGTTTGTAGTGGATGAAACTCAAAAACAGAAAGCATAGACACAAGTGCATTTTTTTTAAAAGGGTAGAGACCTGTGATTGTTTCAGCTATTTTGGAAAGATCTTACTGGGTCTGAAGCATATAACATTACAAAGGGGTTATAATGTGCTGCAAACTCATGGCTGCTTTTTTTTTTAAGAACCAAGAAGCCTCCACGGAAAAAGTACGGCCTCTTGTCCAACTCGGAAGACCCCATGGAAATGGGCTCTCTAGAAAGCGACGAAGAAACAGTCTTTGAAACGAGGAACTTGAGGCGGTGAGTGGCGGTGTCTTCTTTCCTGTGTTGTCTTGAGTCTGAATCAGTTGCTCTGTGTGGTGTCAGAGTTAAGATTTGTAGTGCGAACCAACCTTAAACATCAGCTGATTTTAGGGAGATGCGTAAGGATCTTTCCTCATTTGAGGGGAAAAAAGTTTGAAAGCATCTGGCTAGTCTTGCGTTAACATTGCAGGCGTGTGACCTGGTTCCGTTCGCCGGTCAGTTTTCCTCAACACTCTTTTCTTCGGGATTTAAGACTCCTTTTAATTTGCTGTCGGCCTCTGTGTAGGGCCGTGTTTGTCAGCAGGTAGTTGCTGATGTTATTTGCTGGAGTCTCAGACCGTGGAGGCTTGGGTCAGCCCCCAGCTTCGTGTTTCTTTGTACTTCTGATGAAACAAATGAGTTTTGGAGGTCTCCATTCAAAGACTGTAAGACTGAAGTCCTAAGGCAGGACTAGATGCCAATGGAGCGGACAATGGTGTGTTTATGTTGACAGTGTGCACTCCTTTCATACAGAGGTGGGGCTGTCCAGATGAGAGCAGACTCTACCTCCTATCCGTCCCAGCCAGCCAATAATAATCTCTCTCTTGGCTCGGCAGCTGCTGTTGGGACTGATCTGACAACGGCACCACGTGTTCTCCTTACCTGTGCTTGGTCCCTCCTGTCAAGAATGTTTTTGGAGGCAGGCAGGGGTGGATTTGATTTAAATCAAATGGATTGAAATGACAATTTAAATTTTAAAAATCAGGATTCAATTTTTAAAACTTAAATTGTGATTCATATCGTGGTTGAAATCGATTCAATTTTAAAAACACACACATTGATTTAGGTCCACTTGGAGGCATGCTTTTGCTGAATGCATCTCGGTGGTCTGACATTCTGGTTTTCTTTTCTAGATGATGATGGGGCCAATGGCGTGATGTGCCCGGGTTGACCAGAGAAGGTGCACCTCCGCCGTCGGAAGCTGCTTGTTCTCAATTCTTCCTAATTTCCCCCCCCAAAAAAACTGGGTATCTTTTTTTTTCCTGAAGAAGTTGCTTGTCTGCTTAGTGCGATCCCTTCCTCCCACAACTGTTGACGGGGGACAGGTGGTGGCCTTCCTCGCCAAGCCAGCGGGCGCTGGGAGGATCTTGCGTTGTCAAGAAGATGAGAATTGGGGGGGAAGAGGGGGTGTCTTGATACAGGTGGACGGTGGTGGAAAAAGGTGTGATATTGAAGCCCCGTTTGGGGGTGCCCTTTGTAGATTGTCATCTAATGTTACAGAGGCCTGCCTGCTGCATCTTTGAACAAGGTGTTTAAGAAGAAAAACCTTGGTTGTGCGCTAGCAGTGTTCTCAGTGGAGTGCAGTAGCAAAGGTGAGGAAGGAGGGCGTATTAAACCCCTCTGGCCTTGATCCTCCAGCTGTCGGGATTTGAGAAAGTGCTGCTGGCAGCTCATGGTGTTTTCATGCTTCCCGAGCTTGACAGGGGCTCACTGTGCAGGCTTTCTGCAGTGGTGTCAGTTCGAGGGACTGCTGTTGAAGATGGCTTATATACCGAGCAATATATTTCTAGCAAGAACCCTGGAGAAGGAATGAAGGGAACACCACGTAGGTAGCTAGTCACTCAGGTGCCTCGAACTTGGTGCGGGCAGCTAGTCATTTTGAAAAGCTGTTCTCTCCCATTCCCTGGTTTTTTAGTTAAGGTCATCCCAATGTCTTGTTCAGGGTTCCTTTTGAGGCTTAGCAGCAGCACCGTTACTTTTGATGTTTCCCAGAAGGCGGAAGTAACACCATGCTGAATTGCTTGACAATTGAAGACTCCCATTTACCTGTGAAGGGTAGTGTGGTGTTTTACATGCGGTGTCGAGCAAAGGCTGTTCGGGTAGAAATCTACCTCCGCCTACTATAGGGTGTGAGAGTGAGCTCTTTGTCGGCTTGGATTACAGAGTTCTCTGCTGTTTTATTTTTTTTAATGCTCTTTCCTCCTGTACCTGGTGGGTGAATAGTCAGGTTTATACCCTCCTTTTCCAAACAAGTTAAGATCGGTTGAAACTTCAGTCCATTCCTAGGCAACATTCTCAGTTCATTCCTATTGTGTGGCATTATATTCTACAAACTGTCTCTCAAGCGTTTTCCGTGGGTGCCGAACATTTCCTGAATGGGTCCATCTGTGGTGAAACCAGAAAGAGGCTTTCTCTTCTTCCCTTCCTACTTCGCAGAGATGAGTGACATTTGCTCACTGGACTTTTTTTTCCCCAGTCACCGACATGTTGCCTTTTTTTTTTTTGGTCAAAACCTTTTCCTCCTCCTTTGGAACCAAGAGGAAAATTGTGTTCAAGAAATGACGTCTTCAGATCAGTGCAAGGTGACTTTAGAGCACTTGCTGGACCGAGGTGCTTTAGGTGGATTTAAAATCAAGGTAGGGGAACCGTGCCTCCCATCGTTCCTCACCCATGGCCAACAACCTCTAGGGCTAATGGAAACTTCAGTCCCGCAGCATCAGAAGGACTTAAATGTATTCATTTGTGTTCATTTCTCTGTTTTGAATATTTCTAAGACTTTCGGTTTAAACCAGCCTTTTCCAAGTTGGCACGTTCTAGTTATCCCGGGCTACATTTCCCATCATGCTCAGACCGTGTGGGAGAGTGTAGTCCAACCCCTCAGAACAGCATGGGGTTGATTTAAGGCTGGCTTGGAGTCGGAGCACACCATGGCCGCAGTGGTTTTCCGTTTGTGAAAGAGTCCCGTTAAAGGGGAGAGAAGTAATATTTCTGTTTCTTAAATCTGCAATCGAGGCAGTATGAGTTTCCTTTTGTAAGTTTCTTTTGGAAAGCAGGGGCCGGGGGGGGGGAACCCTGCAGATTTCCATCTGGTGAATAATAAACATTCCATCTTGGGTTGTCTCTTCTGCTTGAAATTTGGTATTTTGAAGCGTGGTGGATTAGGCTCCAGACGTATGTTTGTGTGTACATGTACGCCTGTAACCTTACATGATCCTGTTCAGATCTCTGTGCTGTAGGCAATGAAACCACCTTTTAACATCAGCACTGAGGTGTTGTCCTGGACTGCGAAGCTATATATCCTTTCTGCTGAATTCTGGCAGGTTAGGGTGACTTAGCCTCTCCAGCGTTGTGCTGTTCAGGGTTTTTGGAGCAGATGTTTCCAGCCCCGGCAGTGCAACTCAAGGTGACTCACAAATCATTGAAACAAGAATTAAAAGCAACATGTACAAAACAGCTCACAACTATTAAAGAATAATTAAAATATAACATGAAACAGATTTAAAAAATTAAAGCCTTCCTTGGACAGCTATCTGCCTTGGTCTTGTGCCTCTGTTGGTCCTGTTATTCCTTCTTTAAAGCTGCTTATTTTATTTAAACTATTATCAAACTAGCAGTTCGAAAGCATGCAAATGTAAGTAGATAAATAGGTACCACCAAGGCCTGGGTCAATGCAACCTTGATTTCTGTCATCTGCATCCATTTATCCTGGGTCAATGCAAACTTGATTTCTGTCATCTGCATCCATTTATCCATTATCTTTATACATAAAACCACCGAAATGTGTATGTGTGTATTTATAGGTATGTATAGCTCCCCCTAGCTTGGTGAAGAATTCTGGAGAACTCAGAAGCTTGCACATTAGGCTGGGTCCTGATAGAAATGTCTTACCCCACTGTAGATCTTGGGTGTTTTTTTTTTTTTTTGTATGCAGAACTTGCCTTTATTTATCTAAAATAATTGCAGTGTTAGGAGGAAGGTGGTGGGCTAAAGAGGGGCTTAGCCCCCGCATCTGCTCACTTTTCCAGCTGGGCAAGTGAGAGGCAGACGAAAATGATGAAAGGTGATTGCTTTTATGTGATCCAGGGCCTCTCTTAGGTCTTTTTCTCTGAACCTTTCTTTTGCACAGAGACCGCAGAATGGCTGGATATCAGAGAAAGAAGGAAGTGGGATGAACTGATGACTCTTGGGGTTTGTGATAACATTTTCTGAAAATTTCTATTTTTTCAAAAAAAAAAAATTTTTTTTTTTTTGGTTTTTCCCCCCAGAAAATAATTGAGATTTTTGGAAATTTTACATCTCTACACTGGGTTTGCAGTTGATGAGAGCTGTCCAAGACAACAAACTTGGTTTGTGTTAAAGTTTGGGCAAAAACCCAGACCATAGAACCAGCAGCCCTTCTTGTTATCTGACTTGCTGGAAAGAAATGTGTTTTTTGGCATCGAGGCTGTTCCTTGTTTTCCCCCTGCTCCTCCCACGTTAACATGTGAAATGGGGCAGGAAAAAGAGTCTGTTTTCATGTTGTTTTGGAGGGAGGGGTTGCAGGTTGCCTTTAATACAATTTGTGGATTATTTCTCCCCCCCCAACTTCCTCCTCCATATGTATTAATGTGTAATATTCACCCCCAAATGCAGAAGTGTTGTTTTAGAAAGTATTCTTTTCTCTTTCCCAAAGCTCAGAGCTGGTCTCCCAGCTTCAAAAGGACTTTTTTTTAAAAGAAAAACTAATTACCCTAATGAAGTCATAGGAGACCTGGCTGCGTCTCTTACTTAGAGAGAGCGCGAGGGAGGTTAAAATGGAAATTATGGCCGGTTTGCTGGTTTAGCTCTGCCTTTCCTGTACAGTATTTGTCTGTTGGAAGATGGAGTGTGGAGCGTGTCTGGGGTGCTTAACTTCCCCCTTCTTCATCCTAGTCTGGATTTTTTAAAAAAATGAAATAAACCAGATAGACAGAGGAGGTGTGTTTTACTCCTTCAGACTCCTCCTGGGTGAATTTCATTCTGCACCAGAAAGAGTCCTGGAGAGCCATCAGAATTTGTGCAGGAGTCTAATGGGGAGGGTCCCCCCCTCCCCACTGAGGTTAATGGGCCATTAGAGATCAGGCTAAAAGCTAGCAAGAAGACAGGTTGTCAGAAGATTGCGGAACATTAAAAGAGCAGCCCTGTAATGTCTCCCCTTCCTTTGGGGGGGGGCTCATTTTTGGCAGGGCAGGTGAGCGAAGGGGGGGGAAGAGGAAATTCACAGCCTTGAGAACCCTATTTCACATTTAAGCCTCAAGAACACCGCCCCCCGTTCTGTCTGGACGAAGTATCATGCTTCCCATCAGTAGATTAATCAACATTTGTGCTGGTGAATCGTCCTTCATTAACTGCTGGGGTGGCCCTTCATGTCGTCGTCGTTTAGTCGTGTCCGACTCTTTGTGACCCCATGGACCAGAGCACGTCAGGCCCTCCTATCTTCCACTGCCTCCCGGAGTTGTGTCAAATTCATGTTGGTTACTTCGCAGACACTGTCCAGCCATCTCATCCTCGGTCGTCCCCTTCTCCTCTTGCCTTCACACTTTCCTAACATCAAGGTCTTTTCCAAGGAGTCTTCTCTTCTCATGAGATGGCCAAAGTATTGGAGCCTCAGCTTCAGGATCTGTCCTTCCAGTGAGCACTGAGGGTTGATTTCCTTTAGAATTGATAGATTTGTTCTCCTTGCAGTCCAGGGGACTCTCAAGAGCCTCCTCCAGCACCACAATTCAAAGGCATCAATTCTGCTTTCTTTATGGTCCAGCTCTCACTTCCATACATCACGACAGGAAAAACCATAGCTTTGACTATTCGGACTTTCGTTGGCAAGGTGATGTCTCTGCTTTTTAAGATGCTGTTGAGGTTTGCCATCACTTTCCTCCCACACAGTTTAGTAAACGGCCATTCTCCTGATGTGGCATGCCTTTTACACTTGGCCGTAATGGTCTCCGCTTAATTAATAAATTAATATGCCACCCAGTTTGTTAATTCAGACTCCTCTTCTATCCATTTTCTTTTGGCCTTGATGGCTTTTATGTCTTTTTCCGCCCCCTACATTAGAGACCGCAGAGCGTTTGCTGGCTTTAGTTAAACGGGGCCATCCCGAAATTTGAGGGAGTCCATATCGGGCAGTTTCGCAAGCTGGGTGAGGCCCGCCCATTCAAGATTCCCCTCTCCTACCTCCATGCCTGTGTCCGGATGCAACCACCCACTCCTGACAGTTTTCGACAACCCTTTAATTATCTGATGGATTGCACCCCAGTCCACAAAAATACTATAATAATTTTAGGATAATCTGTCAAGTGCTAGAGGACTTTGCTGTCTGATCTCATGCAAAACATGCACAACAAACCATAATAATCTGTCAAATCAATTCTGCTTTACATTGTAACCCCTTTTCTGGGTTTTGCAAGTCATGAGCGCACTCGGAAGTGGTTTCCCCTTCTTCTGGGACTGGGCAGCTTGCCCAAGGCCACCCAGGCTGGCTGTGTGTTTTTTATTTTTATTTTTTAGAGGATCGCAGGGAACCCTGGAGAGAGCCTGTCAGCAAAAAATGTTTTTATACCTAAAAGTGGGAGCCAACCAACCCCTTCCGCTTCCTAACCCAGAAGGGCGAGCCTCCGTCTTGCGCTCTTGTGCGGGATGTTCAGAGCAGATGCACGAGAGGCATGGCAGGCCAGCCCAATGACACTGTGGGGGTCACGCCTTCGTTGCTCATGCAAGCCATTGCGCTCCCCAACCTGCTTCCTCCTTTCCTCTCTCTCTCTCTCTCATATATGCATTTTTCTCCCCAGCCTTGCCTGCCCTTCTCCGTTTTATCTCCCAACGACCAAAAGGACCGCCGCAGGGCAGCGACATCCTTAACCTCCCGGTCGCCATAGGAACCGCCACCCGGGGCTCCCACGCGCCCGCGTCTAGGAGGGCCAGATCCTCGGGCTGTACCGTCACGAGCCTGTGAAGTCTGGGCTTCCAAGGCCTGGTTAGACACACACACACACACACACACCCCGGAGGCTGCCAGGTTGTGCAAAGCTGCGCTTGCAAACCTAAAAGATGGCATTCTCTCCCTCCCTCCCTCTCTCTCTGTTTCTCCCTCCCCTCTCTCTTTTTTAAAATCTTTCCTCCCAAAGCAGGGATGCTCCAAAGGTAAAGGTTATTAGAGTCAAAGAACTTTCCGACTGGGAGGCTAAACTGTGATTATATTCTCCGTAATGTCTCTCTTCTCCCTGGTCTGCTTTTCTAGGTCTGCCCCAGGCTTTGCTGAGACCCCCTCTTTTTTTTTAATTGCACCAGGGTTTTGTGGGAGCTGAGAGCGCCCCCGAAGAGGCCAACTGGCCGGGCAAGTGGCTGCTGGACCCGTCCTTTTCTCAGAGGGGAGGGGAGGGGAGGGGAAAAGGGCAGGCGCAGGAGCTGAAAAAAGGCCCGCTGGGGGTCTTGGAAAGAGGAGGGTGAGTAGAGGGTGGAGGGTGTGTGGGGTCTCCGTTCAGTGTGGTGGGGGAAAAGGTGGATGGGTGCTGGAGCCCTGAACCCCAACTTCTGGCTGAGGAGTCAGATGTGAGGAGTTTGCTTCTCCCCCGGCCTCCTTGACAGGTCTGGACTGGATGATCTCGAGGGTACCTTCCAGCCCTGAAGTTCTAAGATGGTGAGGATTTATCCTTAATGAGCTACGGGATGATAGTTCAGAGGTTGAGGTCTCTGGCAGAGGGGCCCAAGGCTGGGAATTCGAATCCCTCACTATGCTTCCTTGACAGGGTCTCTGGACTCAATGATGCATAGGGTTCCTTCCAGCTCTGCCGTTCTAAGATGATATGGATGATGATTATAATCATCCAGCCTGCCAGATCGGTGATGGGGAACTAAGACTTCCTGGTTTTAGAGCAGTGGTTCTCAACCTTGGGTCCCCAGGTGTTCTTGGACTACAACCCCCAGAAGCCTTCACCCACTAGCTATGCTGGCCTAGAGTTGTAATCATCATCATCAGCAGCAGCTCTTTCACAGGAGCAGGCATCCCTCATGATGCTTCCCCCCCAGTCCAGCCAGCGTTCTGTTCGGGAGGCGGGCACCCTCTTCCCCACCCGCTTGTCTTCCTCTATCGGTCCCATGCATGCGCGGCGCCGCTTCGTTACCTTAATCAAAAGACAAAGCGGGACAGGTGGAAATTAAAAAAGGCCGCCTTCCGCAGCCTTGTCATGGGTAGCTGAATCTTGACAGATGGGTGTAAACTTGTTTTTATTCCTGTCAATCCCGCCTTGGCCCCCGCTGCAAGTTGGCATCTAATTGGCCCTGTGTAGCGTGAGACCTGACGCGGAACGTTGCGCCTGTGTTACATGCAATTAAAACGAACCACCCTTTCCGTTGGCTTCTCTTGTGTTTCATGCCTTCATTTGTCCCCCACCTCACAGAGATGTCTCCTCCGCCCTTGTTTTATTCCCCAAAAGACTACAGCCCTTTCCTTCCCTCACCCAGTCTGTATCTGGCGGTGGGCAGCATTTAGCCCTTGCTGAA